AAAACTGAGAGAAGTTCAGTCAAGATCTAAACTGTCCCTAAAACCCAAATATTTTTAAATGTCTCTAAGACATTACCAGATCTAGTATGGATTCATTTTTCTGTGTTTCAGTTTAAGAAAAACAAGAGAGAAATAAAATACATGGGACAAACTGGGATACTATTGATCATTGATAAAGTACGAGGCAGATCTCAAATTGCACAGCAATTTGTTCCACAGTCTTAAATCAGTCTTCGAATGAGGTGAGCAAGGCTCCTGCTGACCAAAATTTCTTTTCCTCAATAAGGATGAAATCAGCATACATTGCACCTTAAATTCACTCACTCTCATAAGGCTGGGTATTTCCAGTAGTGTGCAGGAGCAGGGTTTGTGCACCAAGGGTGGAGAGCTCAGCACCTGGCAGAGTCTGTGACACCTAAAACATCAGCCTGCTCCTGCCCCACTACTGAGAGGCCATCCATCATCAGGGGGGAACTGAAGAGTTTCTTGCTGAAGCCAAGGTCATGTGTGAACTATAATACTGTGAATCCTGAGGTGAAACATAGGTATTAAGAGAACAATAATTTCTTGAAAATTCTGAATTACGTTATACTATGTTTCCTAATGATTTCTGAATGAGGGAGGCCTCTTTCTTTTTTTTAATTATCAAAGCAAGAAACTGCTCTTCTTCCCATAGAGACCTGCAACTAACTCCATGCATTTCTTTCCTGATTCAAGAAAGTCAGATAGATTCTGTTTCTTCACAAATCACAATAAAAATGGTAGTGCATTTTCATTGCAAATATTTTCTAGCTACTAGTACTTCTAGTAATTCAACATGTACTTTTATGTCTTTTCCCATCACAAAATATTTTTTGTTAAAACATTTTTAAAACCTTTCCTAGTTTAAACACATGAAAACCATAAGGGAAAAAATAAGAAAGAAAACTAAAAAAACCCTACAGAACATGTGAAATCAACTGTAGAAAAATTGTTTTAAGGGTGGAAGTGTACCAGAAGCATGCTTGAATAGGTATCAGCTGATACTACCAAATGGCCATCAAGGTCAAGGACCATCATAAAAATCAAAGCAAGGACTTTTCCTAGGCAAGAATTTTTTTTTTTAAATTTTGAAATAAAGTTCAGGGCTGCCGTCAATATATTTGCTTTTTATGAACACTTATTTGATTTACTTTTGAGAAAACCACTTCAATTTAGCTGTTAAATACCAAATACTTTTCCTACTTCAAGGCTCACAGAAGCAGGTTTCATAATATTTGTATGCTTTTTATGCATGAGTCCTCTTATTTATACAGCTCCCTATAAATCATATAAATGAATGACAGAAAGGACCAATTAGAGCTTTTTCTGGGTAGAATGGCTCTTAGATGGTTGTGCTGTCTCGTTTTAATGGTTTCAGGTTCCACAGTTTCCCTGAGGAGATTGAGAGCTTACTGCAATTTATTCTTATGATAGTCAGCTTCAACATTTCCTTTTCCAATTGTATTACAATACACTTACATCCAAAATAATGTATCACACATTTTTCTCCTCTTGTGATGCAAGATAGATTCCATAAATCCTGCAATAAATTTGTCACCTCTTCGATGTCCTTATAAGTCCATATTAGCTGTGTTATGTAGCACATGCCAGTCTTGAAAGCAACATCAGTTATGCCTCTTTAGTGATTTGCACAAAAAAGTAGCAATCGAACCCCAATATTACAGACATACTTTATTCAAGCTCCAAATTAATTCACTAAAATGATCCATGGTTTTTAATTAATTCTATGGTTCCAGGTATTATAAAATACTGCCCCTTTTTATGCATGCTTGTAGAGTCTTAACTCCATCCTCCTAGGGTCATATAATAAAATTTCAGGAGCAAGGTTTTTATCGTGTTTCTCTGGAAGGAAGCAAATAAATTTTCCAGTTCAGTACAAAGTAAGCAGTACTGTTGTGTGTGGCTGATTCTGCCCTGCCATGTAGGCTGGTCCCTTCACCCCTCTCTTTGTCATGTGCCAAACTTGGTTGGCTTTCAGATTCCTAGCCTGCCTTTCCCATTCAAGTCCTGCCATGGGATTGCCCCTGTTCCAGGGCTCATGATCAGTTCCTTCACTGTGCAAATTTTATTACACAAGAAACAGGGCTTACATTCATCTTTTTACAGTTTCAGATTAAAGGGACTACAGAGATAGGGAAACACATTCCTGCAAGTTTAAGACCGCTAGGTTGCACATTTTTTTTAAGTTACCTGTCTTCAGTTACACTGATCACAGCAGAAAACAAATGAGAACCAGAAACCAGGAAAGCACCCCTTAACATCCTAGTAGTTCATGTATGTACATACAGCCTCTAAAACAAGCTAGGAGATGGTTATCAAATTACAATTCATGGAATGTTATCCCTACTGAACAAATGAGTTCTATAAAACTACAAAGTCTCCTGGAAACTCTGTCAGGTGTTAATGTGCTAATTAGAAAATAATTGACTAAACCCATGAAAGCAGTAATAAAAATGTAGAATACTGCTCATTCACTCACTAACACAGAACACGGGCTCTAACAGCAAAGGTTTAAGAGCCAAAGGACCAGGCAGGTGCCTAATGCTTCGTTAGGTTTTATAACTGAGGAAGACACTACAAATACCAAAAGCCCTGGTGCGAATAAGAAAAATAATAATAAATAATTTTTGGAAGCTGGCTTTAGAAAACAAATAAAACACAACCAGCAGAAATAAAGAAGCCTGATTACATCTCACATCTGAACCCATTCCAACACCCTTATTGTACCTTGTGTCCTACACCTACCAGATGGGGAAGGAGGGTGTGCACTGGAGCGCTCTGATGAGCCAAGTGCTGGGCAGCCAGCGGCCACCACCTCCTCCTTGCTGACCTGAAGGACAGCTTTTACTGGCTGAAGAGCCTGGAAGATCCCTGAGGGGAGCTGCAATGAATTCCTCCCTGGCTACGTGGCATGTGGGCCCTGTTAGAGAGAGTCTCTCCTTCATTCTGCAAAAAAATCTGTCATTCATTACTGAAATCAGCCCCGTATGGCTGAACTAGCAACTGGCTTGAAGTCACCGGAGGGGGAAAAAGGGTGAAGGCAGCCAAATTGTTTGGAATGCAGCTAAAATACTTCAGAGAGTTGAAGGTTAAAAGGGATCATTGGATCACATATTCTGACCAGAGGCCAGTAAGTCTTAACTACCAGTCCCGAACTAAACTAAGGAGCTTGTTTGCTGTTAAAACCATTACATTTGCATTACATTATCTCGCTCCTGACCACTGATTCTTCTTTTATGTACTTTTCTACCATTCTAAAAAGCTTTAGAATAGCAAATCTTGCAGATCTTTTTGACAAATTGATAATGTGTTCAGAACGTATAATTACAAGAGACTTCCTCCAGTACTACAATGTTCTGGCAGTTCTTTCCTGCACCACTTGATCTTTAATGTCAAGAGGCACACGCCTTGTTCTATGATCAGTTCCCATTAATACACACTGTAATGCTGGTAGTACATCCAACAGTCAGACTGGACACATTGCACTTATCTGTAACAGTTTGCTTGATGTGATTTTTAGACAACTTTTTCTAACACATAAGCTCTCATTCCAGAGGCATGACTTCTATTCCTGGAAAATTTGGGAGTAAATTTGGCCTGCACATTTGGCTGTTTGAAAGTGTTAATTTTACTAAGCCATCCAGATGATTTTGCTGTTGCTCTCACAGTAGTTTACTAAGTTATCATTTAGCACATACATAGATTTTATTAACAGTGAGTTTATTTTGGATCTCTGGTAAAAATCTTGAAAATGCTGATCCTACAGAAACTTGCACCCCAAAACCATGAAGACTAGCCTCTGAAAACTCTTCTATCTTTCAGAAGTCAAAAACTATTTCTCTATTTAACATGTTGGTTATTCAATAGCATTAGCCATTAGAAATACATATGGTATTAACCAAAGGACTCAGAAACCATTTTGCAGTTCTAAGCCTATTAGATTAAAAACAGAATCCATGATGTTTCTGCAATTACTTTTATCAATTTACCCGTGTTACTGAATAAGGCTGTTAGAATTGTTTTACAGGCCGCGGTGATTGACATTAAGGATATCTTACTTATTTCTTTATCAAACCATTTTCATATCTTTTCCTACTGTTTTGTCTGTGGTTTATGTCAAAACAGTCAAGAACAGTACAGGTCATCCAGCTTGGTCATTTGAAAATGGACAGAACACGAATGATTTTCTTTACTTCTCAATTCTTACTTTCCATTTAAAGATTTATTAAGCCCCAAACTTAGCTACTTCTTCAGACAACTCTGCCAAGATCCCACGGCGCAAATTAGCCAGACTTCATTAAAAACTGTCTAGCTTTGCTTGGAACAGCGCTTTCCCCACGGACCTCACCAATTCCCGCCACGTGATGCCAGCACCACACCCGGTTTGTCGCAGGTACGGCGGCGATGCTCACCGGGCACCGCCGCGCGCTCCGTGACAGCTGCGGCACCACCTCAGACCCATCTCCAGCCCGGAGCGACCCCCCTGCCCCTCCTCGCTCCCCTTTTTCTCTAAATCCCCCTCCGCCGCCGTACGCCCAGCGGAACCCCCGTTCGGGGGTTCCAGCGAGGTGCCAGCACCTGCAAACCTCCCCGGCCACCCCCGTCACATTCCCGCTCCTGCCGCGGGGGATGCGGCGCCGGCGCGGCCCCCGGGAGCGGGCGGGCGGCGCCCCTCATGCCGCCGGGCAGGGCCGCGCTCCCGGCATGCCCGAGGGGGACGCTTCGAGGGTGGGTAGGTGGGCGGAGGGAAGAAGGGAGGGAGGGTGCGCGCCCACCCCACGGCCGCTTCCCATTCCCAGGCGCTTCCCATTCCCACCCGACGCGGAAACCGGCGCGCAGCCGAGCCGCTGTAGCCGGCGCGCAGGGCGCATGCGCGGGCGGCCGGGAGGGCGGGGGCCGGCGTTCAGCGGGGAGCGCTCCGGCCGCCGGTGCCGCCCGCACTCCGCGCTCCCGCCCGGCGCCGTCGCTACCCGGGACCGGCGGCCGCCGCGCACAGCCCGCGCCCTCTCCCCCCGCTCCGCGTCCGCTCGGTGTCCTGCCCCGCCATGAAGTTGAGCAGCCGCGGCCGGGGATGCTGCGCGGGCGGCAGCCAGGAGCGCGGGCCGCCGCCGCGGAGCCCCTTCGTGCACCAGCTGCGCTTTAGCCCCCTGGAGAAAGCCAAGGTAGGGGCGTGCGGCCGCCGGGCCGCCCTCCCTCCCTCGCCGCCGCCTCCTTCCGCGCGTTCCCCGCGGCGCACCGGCTGCCGGGCCGCGTCCTGCGGCGGGCGGGGGCTCGGCGCCGCCGGTGCTTTGTGAGCCGGGCAGAGCCGGGCAGCGGTGCTGGGCGTGTGCGAGGCGAGGCGGCGGCCGGGGCCGGGGGGCTGGGGGCGGCCGTGATGCTGTAGTGCAGGGCGTGCGCCTCAACTTGTGTCCGATGCCTTCTCCAAAGGAAAAAAAGCTGTTGGTGGTTTCTGGGGGTTTTTTTTTTGCTTGTTTGTTTGGGGGTCTTTTATGCGTTTTGTTGGCATTTTGAGGTTTGGGAGGGTTTTTTTTTCGTTTTTCTGGTATTCTGGGGGTTTTTGTGTTGTGTGTTTGTTTTGTTTTTTTTTTTAACGGGGGCGGGGGCGCAGCCCTGCGGAGCCGCTCATTTTCAGCGTCAAGTCAAGGTAGGTATTAACCTGGGCCGAGACATCCCGGTGCAGCCGAAGTTTTGCCCCTGGGTAAATAGTCCCTGCGGCGTAATTTAGGTTTTGTGCAGGTAGCGGTGAGACTACAGGAAGCAGTATTAAAATGCAAATTTGCAGTTGCCTGGCTTTTTATTTCATTGTTTGGTTCTAGGGGCTTTTTTCCCCTCTCCGTGCCTCTGCCTCGCCTCGCACAGCGTGCAGTAGCTGGTTGGGTATTCAGAGGGCATGGCCCTTGTCTTAGGCTTTCGGTAAGATCTGGGTCACTTGCTGTAGGAAGAAATACCGTCAGAAGCTCACCTAATGAGAGGCTGGCCATTTCTGCCACTTCATCGCTGTAATACTTCAGGTTTATAAAGCTGTTGTTTTGGGAGCCTGACAGCCTTCAGTACCTGTTAACATTGGAAATTATGGTTCACTAATATTGAACCTCTTGGGTAAAGGTGCTTTAGATCCAGCTTTGATTTGCTGCCTAGATGCTTAACACGAGATATGTATGGCCTGACTTAAAAAACATAAGAATGTGCCTCATGCTACATATCAGGCAGCCCAGGAATTTATGGTATACTCCAGTAGAAAAGGTTTTCACTTTTTATTAAGTTGCCCAGTATGTATTCAGTGGTTGCTCATAAATTGTTGCTTAAGCTGGAAAAGGGAGAAAAAGCTTGTGTCATCTGCTTAATTCCTCAATAAATTGCATAGTGGTAAAGGTTTTCTTTCCGTGTACTGTACTTTGTTCCTGAAGTCATGGTTAATATGCAATTAATGAGGTAGAAGTCTGTCAGGCAGCTGAGAGGAGCACATGAAGCACATGTTCATATGGACTAGGATTGTCTCCAGTTATAACAACTATTGTTGCTTTCTACTTGGTTATTTATAAGAAATTTTAAAAACACTGCTGGGAGAGGACAGCAGACTCTGTTTTATGTTTTTTGCAATAGTAAGTCTCATAGGACCTACTAACATCGCTTATCTGATGATAGTCCTGACACCTTGAGGAGCTTTGCTAGGGAAATGACTGATTGTAAAACACATCTGCTTTGTGTGTGGGCTGCCCTGCTCGTAGGTATGAGATGTGAGCCTTGCAAGTGGATTTCAAGGATTTGTTTTTCTCAGTGAAGATGAGGAGATGTGTTTAAACTGCTCTAGTTTGTCACAGTGCACAGGCCAAAGGAACAGCCTCCTCACCAAAGATTGTGTCTTGGACTCGCTTTATAAGTGAACGGCCTTTCTCTGATATACGGCAGCACAGAGTTCTTTAACCTAACCTCCCTTCAGTCTCTTACTGTTGCAATTTCACACAGGAAAAAGCCCATAAACTGGCATACAGAACTGTGGTAGATATTTTTTCTTTGCCTTAGTCATGCTTTTCCAGTCTCTTCAACCATTAAAAGTTGTGCTTGAGACAAAAGCTGCTAAAGCAGAGCTGTGGAACTGCTCCACTTGAGAAGAAATGCCCCCTAGGTGAATGACAGAAGTGTACATTCTCCTCTGTACAGCCTTGGAGAGCTACAGAGGGCTTGGTGTGAACTATTGCAGCTGAACTCACTTCCTGTTCAGCTGCAGGCGTGTGTTGTGGCACAGGCTTTTCTGTCTGTCCTGTGAATCTAACGGGGGTTTCTGGGATTGCACAGGCTATCGAGGAAGGTTAGGAATGTAGGTACGAGCAGGGGACTGGGAGACAAGGCTGCTTTGTCCCATGGTCTGGTGTCTGTTGCTGATGGTCTGCCAGATAGCTCCATTATCTTTGCTACAACCTCATCCTGCACTCTGCAAGAGGTTAGATTAGCTTTTTTGTTCATTAATGCAGCTCAATCATGCTTTTTAGCATGTTCCAGCCTGAGACTGTGGGAGTGAAAGAAAGATAGAAAGTGAGAGAGGAGAAAGCGCAACAGTAAAAAGAAATCCTTCTGACTGTCAAGGAACTGTTCACATCACCTTTCATTTACTTTATAAAAACTGGGAGATTACAAGAGTGTAAAAGCAGTAAGACTGTTCTGAACTGAGTTTCATCAGTAGAAATTATGAGAATGGCTATTTTACTGTGATCTGAGGGTGACAGTAGGGGTCATTCTTGAAGCTACCTGTTTTATTTCAGTACTATAATAAAATTCTTTTTGGGAGACAGACGTGATTTTATTAACCATGGATTTTGTTCATACTAACATCTTCTGGGCACTGTCATATAAGTCTTAAGCTCTTGATTCTTGTTACCACTGCAGAACAGGCAGAAGCATTACTGGAGCTATTACTAAGCATCTGTAGCTTTTTTCCCCTGCTACTTCAAAATACAATACAATGCCATTTTCCATTTTTCTAGTGTTTCTGGCCCTTTTATTTCACCAGTGCTGGTGTTCATTTGGTGCCTTGGTGAGCTGATTTGCCTCATTAAACCAGCATATCATTGTGTTTTTGTGTTCTGATTATTTTCTTTTGCTGGGATGGCTGTGTTTTTTCTCACTAATGAGCTATATTGGCTCATTGCTAGCTCACATAAGTGCTAGAGCTGACTCAAGGGGAGGATTGAAGAGAGAGTGAACAGGACCACTCTTTCACAGCAGAGATCTGTTAGATTGGCTTTAGCTACAGGAAAATTTCTCCTCCTGTATTTATTTCTGTGAATGTGTCTGTTGGGGAGCTTGCAGAGTGGGAAAGTGGGTAGTGAGAGAATTGTTGAGGGATGAATTCCTAGCTCCTTCACTGCTATCTTTGGTGAGTTGAGCTTTTGGGATGATAATGGTGAGGAAGTATAGGTGTGGGGTAAGATGTAATTTCTGTCTGTAAAAGAAAAATCAAAAGCTCTGTCATGTCAAATAGTATTTCCTTTCTCAGTATTGTGACTGCTACTTTGTAAGTCATGGAAATTTTGTTGCAAATAAACTGGTTTTAGTGATGTGATTACAGTATTGGTAATTTCCAAGTTGCATATTTTCAGCTTCTCTGTGCATGAGAGCTATGATAGTGGTTTTCAAGATAGGAAACAGACCTAGAGAAGTAGAAACCAGGGTACTCTGATTCTTTTGCTCAGTGCTTAGATATGTAGGACCGGATATTTTAGAGAACTTGAAACTTGAGTTCATGTTTTATACCTTCATCGTGAGGTCATACTTAAATCTGAATGCAGTCTCTGTAAATAAGGAGAACATTCGATACTTATTTAGTTTAAGTGACTTGCCTTACATCAGGTTTAAGCTCTTCTGATGGAAGAAGGCAGATCAGTTTCCCAGGGCAGCCTTCCATTACAAGCTATCCATAGGTCTTTCACAGTATACACGGCAGCTTCCAAAAAACTAAGTTGGATGCTGTAGGCCAGCAAATGTTAAATAAATGGTAATCAACCCCCTCTTGAGATTTCTTTGGTGTGAGCTGAACCCCTCAAAGCTCTGGGTGGACCTTTTAGGGGTTTTAAAATGTATATCAAAACACAGGTGTTATGTGACTTACAACTTACTGCCAAACAGAATTCCTAATTTTGATGGAAGACCTGTCACTATCAACATCCCAGATATGTTGGAATGTGATCACCAAAATAGTGTCCACATAAGGGCAGAGCCAGAGTGTATGTCTCCTGCATTCTGATCTCTGACAGTCACCTGTGGGGACAGGATCACCTCCTTTTTTCTGTCTGACACTGTTGCTGTGCATAGGTTTTACAGGGTAGAAGCTTTCTTACCTGGGAAGATGTCTGAACGTAGGTATAGACTGAACTACTTTTCAAATGTTAGCACCTTTCTTGACTCCTAACTTTCTTCAGGAGGTAGACCTACTTTTCTCTCCTGCCAGATTTCTTGTGTGAACAGGTACTGAGCTACTGCCTGCTAAAAAGAGGCTGGTGTCACAGCCAGACCCTGTGCATTTGCTTCTTGCTGGCCATTACCGTCCTCACTGTATCTGGAAGACCAAGAGGCTTTTTCTGCACATTTATACCATCTTTTACGGCATTATGGATGCAACTTCTATTTTCATTCTGTGACATGACACTAAAATGATCTTTGGTACAAAGGATTAGTACAGAGGAGTCAAGGGATGGAATCCCTCACTACCGGATACCTGCCATTCAGCTTTGCCCTGGAGTAGGAGAAGACTTAGAGGAGTGATAGGGAGGGAGGAGGTGTGAATCCCAAAGGTCTGTGTCTTCACCTGCATTTTGTATCACTTATTTTTTAGTGGCTGTCCTTCTCATTTTACAAAATTAGAAGGTAGCTGCTCTCATCTCCAGAATGCTGGTGGGCTTGTCTGTGAATGCAGAGTTGTGTGAGCTGGTGGTAACTTTGATGTTCATCTGACCATTGTAGCGTGTGAAGATTTATTGGTTCATCTGGGAAACTAGCCTATCTAAGAAAAAAAAAATTCTTTTTTCTGTCAGTTCTGCAAACTCAAGCAGAGTCTCCATAGGGGCTGGAATCCTGTTCTGGAGAGTGGGGTCGTGGTTGTTATGAGATGATGGTGCTGGTCTGAACCATCACTGTAAAATCCAGCTGCAGTGGGCTGGTAGCTTAGGGCTTGAAAGTGGTATCTTGGGGTTTTCTCCTGTTGTGTATTCCCTGCACCTACTCTAGATTTATAGATTTGTGCACCTACAGAGTGAGTTGGTTGTTGAGCTGTTTTGGGAAGTGAGAGGAAGTGGAAAGTGACCTGCATGATGACTAGATCTGCATCAGGGAAGAGAAGAATATGAATTAATCTTTCCACAGCAGCCTGGAGATGCATCAGATTAAGCACATGAGACAGCACCTTATGGCTCATTACTCATGCTTGCCGAGCTATTGTGGTATTGAAAAGTGTGCTTTTTAACCTTATCTGCCTTATCTTTAATTGAATGATAGCTTGCTGTTTCTACCATTAGATATTTTTAAGTTAAGAAATAGTATCGGTTTCTAGGAATCACTGATCTTTTCAGTCTGAAATTGTGTTGGAATAATACTTTTAAAAATTATTTTTATTTTACAGATTGCCTTCATGACCTTGACTCTGTTTCCTATCCGACTCTTTTTTGCTGCTTTTATGATGTTGCTGGCCTGGCCTTTTGCGTTCATTGCTTCAATGGGATCTGACGAGCAAGAGCTTGAAAAGCCCCTCTCCTGGTGGCGAAAGTGAGTCACTGATACGGTGAAAATATAAAAATTATTAAACACTTTCCTCAGCTGGGTAACTAGAAATGCCTCAACTCTTTGATTTGCCAGGTGACCCAAGAACTGCACTTGTAATCTCTGGCTTCTTACCTTTTTTGGGGATATAGTGTGAAGCTTTGTTGTGGCATATTCAATTGCATTGATTCCTGTAATGTCAACTTCTGATTCTGAAGATTGACTTTATGGAATGTGCTCAGATTTCATATTCTAAATTTTTGTTGTAAGCTGCTTCAACCCTGTGATGAACTGACAAAACCTGTGTTGATTCCCTGAGGGCTTGCCCCATACTTTAGTGCTTATTAAAAGTCTGTGGTTGCTTTGATATTGCAATGCTAATTAAGGTATAATATAAGACTCTGTCCTCCCATCCATGAAAACTGCTATTTGAGGAGCAGGAATGGAGGGGTGTATCACCTCTTCTATTGACAACTTTAAAATTAGGAGCTGGCACTAGCATGAAGGAAGCTGATTGTGCTTTGCATCACAGGAGGGAAGGAGGTTGAGAACCACAGAGGTATATCACTTTACATTTCATTTGGAGCAATATCAATGCAATAACTAATGGAATAATTGGCTGCCTTCAGTCTTGCATACAGTTATTTTGAACCCTTTTAGATTCTCCCTTCCCCATTTAATCCAATTTTCTGTGTTACCCTGCTCTCTCTCCTCTAATCTCTATAAGTGTTACAATTTGTGGTGTTTGATTTTTGTGCTCTGTTCAAAGTTTCTCTTTTCATGACTGTGAGACAGTTGAAAAAGACAGACAAACAAAACTCCACAAAAAACCCACAAATAATCCCCACCCCACCAAAAAAAAAAAAAAATCCACATGAAACAAAAATCCAAATCACTTTAGGAGAAGATGGGGAAAGGGAAGAAAATAAAATATTTCCAGAGCTCTTACATGTATTCTGTAGGCCTTCCTATATTTGAGAATCTCTGCCCTACATATGCCCCCTGTTTTGTTAGGGTAAACTTGAAACCAAGAATCAGGATAAGTGCATTCTGATAATATCCTAATAGTATATATCAGGACTCAATTTATTAGAGCTTTTTAGGTGTTACTTGAAAGCCTTATTAGGCATTGTGTAGAAGATACTTAACAGTCATAGTCTGAATTAAAATAAATGATGAACGAAATGCTAGTCTTGGAGACTAGAATAAATTAGTGTTCAGGTATAAAATGAAGTTTAACAGCATATTACCTTGAAAGTGTTTTTAAATCAGCTGAGAAAGAGAAGAACAAAGTGTGTGCAGTGTTCCAGCTGTGTTTTAAGCATTATATTTTTTCTGAACTTTTGTCATGGATGTAATTTTTCATTTCATTATTTTAAGGTGTTCCTGTGGCAACATAACCTCTTTCCCAACTCTTTACAGGATAGTGGATATTTTGCTGAAAGCAATAATGAGAATGATGTGGCTTGCTGGTGGATTCCACTGGATAAATGTCAAAGGCAGACGGGCATTGCCAGCAGAAGCAGCAATATTAACGGTGGCTCCCCATTCTTCCTACTTTGATGCCATTCCAGTAACTATGACCTTCGCATCCATTGTGATGAAAGCAGAAAGCAAAGATATTCCTGTTTGGGGAAGTAAGTCGGTAGATACTTCATTTTTCAAGAACAATTAAAAAAGATTACTTAGGAAGTTCACTGAGTGTGTGTGGGAGGGACTGAAACAGGAAATTTTGCTTTAATATATGGTGAGAATTTTTTTTTACTGGTCTACTCTGAATGTCAATACAAAAAGTTGGGGCAGGGGGGAGAGGGGAATGTTCTTTTTCCACTTTCTCAAAGTTGAATGAAGTCAAAGCAGAACTCATGGTTTAATTTGCAGTGAACTTGTAGCATTTTAAAGCCTGCCAGATGGAAAAGCAAATTAGAATGGGGCTATGGAAGCAAAGACTAATGCTAGGGAGAAAGTCTACTAAGACGGTGCTAGTTGGGGTGCCCTGCCAGAAATGTCTTTTAGGAATGTGGTCTGCTCTGAATGCTACCTTGCCTTGAGGGAGTGCTGCTAATCCTTCACACATCAATAGGTTAGTTTCAGGCAGAGTGTGAAAGATGAGCAGAAGAGCAGATTGTTGTGCACTGGGTTTAGTCATGAGAAAAGCAGATTCCTGAGTCAGTAGTGCTTTAATACTATCTTTGGAATTATTCCTGTAAGTTCTCACAAATGTTTGAGAGACACCTGTTGTGACAGACAAAAAGTTGTGTAAGCTTTTGGGCTTTTAGACTTCTAACCAAAGTCTGTGTGGAAGCATTTTGGAGAAACCCATCATCTTGTGTCTAGCGACCTGCAAAGTTCAAAGAATGTTCCTGTGTGTCATTATGTAGATTTTTATGGGTAGTATAAAAGTGACAAAAGATTTTACTTTGACCATGGGTAGGACTCTTAAATTTAAAAGTTTAAACAAAAGCTTTGAGTTCCTTTGCAAGTAAGTGGAATCAGGCTGTTGGTTCTGACATACTTCTAAAATTTAATTAGACAGTGTGTTTTTAAGGTCACATTCAAAACCAGAAGCTAAGAAAGGCCCACAAAGAGTGAGTGATTAGATATGTAAGTTTCATTTAAGGAATCTTGTCATGTAAGGGTCTGCCTGTATGAGGTAAAATTCAGGCCAGATATGTAATTGTATCTTAATTCCATTGAATATCTTACTAATGGTGTTGAGAAATTTGTGGCAGTGGAAAATCTATGTAAAAATTAATAGATCCTTTGAAAAGAAAGAAAAAGTGCACAGGCAGGCATGTGTTTTCGTAAACAAGTGTATGCAAACAAGCATAGTGTGAAAACAAAAGGAAATTGAACTCCCTTGTTCAGTACTGAAAGGAGATACTCTTGTGTATGTTGGCATTCCTGTACAGCATAGGTGTTTCCAGGCCAACTTGGGCTTTAGGAGCAGTCCAGACATAGAAGCAGGGGCTGATTTATCTTCTTTCTCAGGTGACTCAGTTGACTGTTTAATGATTGCTGTCCAGCAAAATAAAAGTATTCTGTGTGGAACTCCCTTTGGCTTGAAGGTGGTCTGTCTGGACAACCCAAGTTAAATGAGGTAACTCCAGCCCATGTTGTGCTACTGCAATGTGATGAAATGGCAGAATGGCATTTGACAAGCCAGGAGAATTTGTAGGGATATGGAGATTGTAGTTTCCCTGAATGTAACTCAAGTTCTGTGTATCAAGTAGATCAAACTATTTTCTAAATATCTAATTTAATTTTGAGGTGACTTTTACAGGATTTCATTGAAAGTCTAGACTTTTTACAATGCATTTAAAAAATTATTCACTTCATTTAGTTCATATGTGAGTAAAACCAGTTACAGAAAAAGAGAACATGTAGTGATTTGATATAACTGGAATGTACAGTGCAGTCAAATAAATGAATGTTTTGTCTTGTATAGCTGCATTTGCATTATGCTGTGCAGCCACAAAAGTTATGTAGTCACTTGTGAAGGGTTCACAAAAATGTCACAGAAGTGAGGCATACCAAAGGTCATAACTGGGATTGAGAGTTCAAAACCCATTTTTGTTTTTAGGGGTGGACTTTTATGTAACATTAATTGCAGCAGTTTGTGTTATTTAAGTAAATAAACCTTAACAGAGAGGTAGTAATCACTGCATTGATTAGTTTGGCTTAAAAATTAGTGAGAACTTTCCAGTACAACTGTGATTCATTTATCCTTCCACCTTTAAGAAAAGTTTTCTGTGAAGCAGACAGTGCTGAGTATCCTCTCCTTTGATGCAATACTTTAATCCCAATGTAACTTACACCTTTCTGCATGCACACACATAAAAAAATCCATTTCATGTTATTGGATCACTGATATTTCTCTTATGCTTATGTGATAGTGTGCTCATGTTTTTATTGGGTTCCCTGGTGAATTGTTAACACTCCAGACCTTCATAAAGAATTTATCCCAGAGGTCAGAATTGTGTTGTGTTCATCGGTTTTGTAGGTCTTGCAGGCTTGGTATGCCATCTTCAGTAAGGTTTTGGAGCCAGTCACTGATAATCCTAACTTTGTTATCTCTTGAGTCTTGTTAATGGTTATTCTGAATCTTCTGGGAAGCTTTGAATAAAGTACATTCATTTAACTATCTGATCAGGTTTAAACATCTAAAAAATGAAGTGGGAGAGGAAATGTAATTTCCAAGGATGAGGACTTTGGGTGAAGAGTACTTCCTCATCCGATATATTCAAGTATGATATAAATAAATTGGCTTTTTAATGACTATGTTTATTGAGACATTGTACATTGTATACCAGAGGGATCAGGTGCTTTAGCAGGCACAAAATTATCTGATTGCTACATGGTTACTAAGATTGCTTCTGCAAGTACTTTAATAGGTTTCTAGAACAGCTGCCTGTATTATTGTACCCTTCGTTTGCCAGTCATGGAATATTAAGCTTCTGATCCACTTGAAAGCCCAGATGATTAAAAGCCTGTTCTTTATGGGATTGGTAGTACCCTGCAACTGTGTTTGTGTGTGAGAGTTTTATCGCTTTCTAAATTGAAGACAGCTCTCCTGGTTTGCAAAGTCCAATTTCGGAAGCAGACTTGAGTCTTGTGACTCTTACAGATATCTTCATCCTTTTTCAGAAAACCAGATTTTTAAAATGCTCTTTGGTTCTGGGAGAAGAGTTATGAACTCTTCAGTCAATGGCCAGTAGTGTAAAAAATTATCCATTTGGCACACACACAAGGTTAACAAACTCTGGGGAGGAACTGCTTGCCCAAATATAAACTATTTCAATGATCATTTAAAAAAAAAATCAGTATCCAGAAAGTAGAGATTGCCAAACAGATGGAATATGTCATGATGCTGAAGGAAGATGTGTGTTTCTACATGATGACTTTCTAGGGTTTTGCTCAATTGGACATGTGAACTTTGCTGGACCACTTAAGTCTTACAGTGGGAAAATGACTTGTAGGAGTCTGTTACACCTTACATGGTCTGAAGAAGTCAGATCCATTTATCAGTACAGACCCTTAAACTTTCCTGTTTTGCCTACTGAATCCCACTTCAAGTCAAGGACAAGGTTTGTGCATAAATTCTGGATAGTTACACTTCCCTGTCTTATTTTTGACTGTTGAAGCACCCTGGATAAAAGTAGTTTTTCACTGCTGAATTGATTGGTCCTGCTGCAGAAATGCTTCAGTAAGAAAGAAAAGGGATTTATCCCTATATATGAATTGATGGGGACTTGAGACCATTTTTATGATTTGAACTTTTTCAGTCGTCTGAACTTTTAAAAACGAAATATAAGTGAAAAGTTAGTTTCAACTTTATGCAACTTCTCAACATCTCTTAACACCACTCTCTGAAAAGGAGAGGGAGTTGATACCTGTGAAATGTACAGGATGGTATGTTATCTTAAGTTTATAAAGGGGAAAGAAGTAATTTGTGTTTGGTGGAACACAGCAGACCTACAGAGAAAGGGAGACTCATACAGTGCTATTAAACGATCAGTTCTCTTGTAGGTGTTTTTTTTTCCACATCTAGTAAACTCGTGAATTTTTGTTCAAGCTCAGTTTTTGAAAGTGCATTATGGGCCTTTCTCAAGCATCATGACTAAAAGATGAGAATAAGTAATTCAGGGGAAAGTATTTATGCTTGGGTAGCTGAGTATATTTTCATCTCAGAACTTAAAAGGTGCCAGATTACCTACCAGCTCTGTTGTGGAACCTAATCCTTTAGTCCTGCATCCCAGGTACCTCCCCCACCTCTTCCAAAGCACACAAGAAGAAAATTGTGGTAGACTCATGGTTCTTCTGTGACAATCTCGCATGTAAACACTTCTGAGATTGACTAAAACAATTGACTAGTCCTTAAACTCCTTGTGGAAAAACCTGTTCTGAGGTGAAGACATTACAAATTTCTTCTTTTATACACTGTAAATCAGGGGCTTAAACACAGAGGTCACTGGTAGGAATGCCAAAATCCTATGCTATGTCAGCATTGTAGCTTGCCTTGAGTACACACTTGAGCTCCCCATTTCTGAGGAGCATCTTGAAGTTGTTGCCAAGCTTATCCATTTTATCTTCTCCTTTAAAACCCTCTGTTTCAAAATTCAATGTTTCCTTCATACTGTGGGCACCCAGATGATCCTGCAAGATTTCAGTCTTCCAGAAGCGCTCTCAGAGAGACTTAAAATACTTGTATTGTCACATGTGTATTATATGTATGTGTTTATCATTTGGCTTGGAGTCCTGGAAAATTCTGTAAAAAATTACTTCTCATTTAAACTGCTGCTGGAATGAACCACCATCACTAGTTAATATATATCATTTATTGAAGTTACAAACTGCAGTATATAGGAAACCTTCAGATCAACAATTCTGCCTGCCTTAAATACTTTTTAGATTGTCAGCAGAAAGCTAAAACATAAAACCATGTCCTCATACAGGTATTGCAGGTGTGAGAGCAAGCAGCAATCTCTGAGATTAAAAGAAGTCTTTGTCTCTCAAGAAGTCCTTAGAGGAAATAGGTCACATTTTGAAAGACCAACACAAATACCACAGAATTTACTTCTGTTAAAACGACAGAGGACACCGATTATTTACTTCCCACTACTGACTTTACCTTGTCCTATAGGCTGCATTTTTTTTCTCACCTTTCTCTTTGGAAATAGCCTCTATCCCATGAATACTTAGCGTGCCTTCAGTCAGGTGGTCCATCTGGTGAGCATTTAGTCAAACTTGGAGAAATTGTTCTTGACATACATTTGTCTTTAGTGGTTGATTCAGATTTGAGTCAAGTAAGTATATATATTATATATGTGTTTTTATAATAAGATACTACCACCAGCTTTACAAATCTCTTCTAGAGTATCATGATGTATCATGACTGTGATAACACTTCTTCTGTAAGAGCAATGTAATTCCAAGGGCAAAATATCCTAATTTTGTTTAAATTTTGTGCATTGATACAACTTGGTGTATTTAGTGTGTGTGTGTTCTTGAGTTTTTCCATTTTTAAGGTCTGTCCATATATGCAGGAAGTAACTGTAATCTAGAACTTTAATGGTTTTCTTCCCCTATAATTTTCAGAAGACTTTTGAGCCTCTTGCAGATTTATTTTCTTCTTTTCTCTGCAGTAAAGAGCAGTTTTCATATTAGATGTTACCTCATTAGAAAAATTTTGAGTTCAGAACCTTGTAAGCATGTACATTTCAGTAAGGCAATTCTTGAAAACTAAGCCCAAGATGGTGTTTTTCAACCTTTATCCTTCGTGGGTTTTGTACCCCTAAATACAGAACACACAACATGGCAACTGCTATTAGAAAAATAATTGTATTTTTTCCATACTAGAAAAAAGCTGTGGAGTAAATACTGTAAATGGATATCCCACTGCAGACTACTTGTACAGCTTATCTCCACGTTAAAGGCAAGCAGAGCCAGTTGTGCTGCCTCTGTAGGATTCCCTTAGAATGTCAGGGGAATGTAGTGATGGGGCTGTGTGTTGTTTGGGGGAGAGGCCAAAAAAGCCTCAAATTCAGCATTCTCTACTTTTGCAGCTGTCACTTTGTTTGTTGCTGATTCTACAGTGGTGAAAATGTAACTGCCCACTCAAAAATGTGTGTATGGATACATTTCAGAAGATTTGTATGTAGTGCCACGTTGCTGTTCCATAGCATTTTGTGTTCTCCCGTGCCTTGTGGAACCAGTGGTGATGTTGTCAGTATAAATGGTTTGCTACAATACTTTCTGCTGTTGCGTATTATGCAGCACTTTGTGTCTTGAATTGAAACAAGGTTTCCTCACACGAACACTTGCCTGCAAAGAGAGAGGGGAAATAATTTTTTTCCCTGCTGTTGTCCTAAGAATCTTAAAGACACCAACTGTATGTGTTCAGCTTATCAGGAAAAAAACCTGGGGTTTGCTTATGCATTGAGCTGGTGCTAAAATTAATTGCCTGGGAGTTATGATTCTGAAACCAGTTGGAGCTGCCACCCTGCTATTAATTAAAGTAATAGAGTTTTTGCAGTCTTTCTTTAAAGAAAGGGCTGTTTTGAACAACTTTCAATTGGTTAGAGTTTCTGTCTGTGGCATTCTGGCTGATCTGAGAGGCAGAAATTTTAATGTTTTACTGGCAGCACCATTTAAATTGCAGGCACCTGCCTAATAAGATAGAATATAGCATGTCAGTTGTCCTCAGGACACCTTATATGATCTGAAATTGAGGATGAGAGTGACTAGATGAAATAGAGCTGACACTGATAGAGAAAAAGCTGGAATAATGACGCTCACAAGATCAGTTTTGTGAACTGATGGATGTGTCTGTCATTGCCCACTAGATTTGATAATTCAAGGGTAGTTTTAATGGAGTGAGAGGAGCTGGGCAAGATATTTTTCAGAATCTCTGAACACTTGAGCTGTGGTTTTCGCTACCTGGTTACAGCCAGTCTTGGACCATTGAATTGCTGAGCAGAGAAGGATATGATTATGTTCTGTTTATTGTACATGTTACAGAGTCCTACTTGTTTCCTTTGGTTGCTCAGTATGCCAGCTGTTTGGAGCATCTTATACATTCACTTCTGGCCTTCCCTTTCCCTAGTCCTGCCTATTCCTTGCATCACGCACTATCTTAGGTACTGTCCCCCTGTGTTTCAACTTGACTTGTGACCACAGTCTCATCTTGGCTGCTAATTTGGTGTGCTTCTCAGCTTCTCTTTTTTTCACAGACCTTTGGCCTTGGTCCTGACTTGCACAAATCGAGTTGGTAGAGCCTTTGAATTTTCAAATTTGTGTTTACTGAACATGAAAATATGTGATGAGAGTAAAAGGTCTGTGTAGCCTTCTGCTCTGTTGTCAGAAGTGGTTAAGAAAAGACTACAGAGTTAGCCTTCTCTTCGTGTGTATTTTCAGCTTTTTACTGATGACTGAGAGTTTCAAATTCACTTAAATTGTTGGACTTAACCACTAAGGGCCTGGTAGCTGGTGTCTCACAGGATCTTCAGTTGCTGTTTAATATTAAAACAAGAATTCTGTCAGTTTTTTAGTCCAATGTCTAAGGAAGTAAGGCTTTAAATAACCACCCTAATAGGCTAATTCAACAGGCAGGACAAATCCATAGGAAGCTAAGATGTCAGTTACCTCTGTCTTTCAGCATACCACAGTAATTTTTCTTTATATGGAGGTGTGGTGCTGGTCATTTATAAGATAACTCACCTTGTGTTCCTCTGGAACTTAGTAACGTTACAGTAGCTTGCTTTTGGGAAGGTTGTGACAGTAAAGCTCCCAAGTTCTCACATCTTGCCTGTACAGTTTTCAGATACAGATGACATCAGTGTAGTCTGATGTTTTCTGTTGCACTGCCTGAAGAAAAATCTGTCTGCTTTGTCTGCTTGCTTAATTTCATGTGTTATAAATAAGACCCTGCTTGCAGCATGTCCTCAGAAAAGAGCCTGGGAGTTCTGGAATTATCTTATTCATTCCTTGGCCTGAAGTAACCTAAATTCTGTCACTTGGGCCTAATGTAAAAGAAATTCCAAGTGAATGCTGGGGATGTTGTATCTTTTGCCTTCCTTTACTTTATAATGTTTTTGGTATGGAACAGTAATTTGCAACAGTTGGGCAAACTCAGGAGTAGGAGCACTAAGAAGAAAACAAGTATGGTTTCCCTTGTTACATTTATTACTTGTTCTGTGTTTGTGGGATTTTTTCCCCTGTTCTTTGCGTGTTAGTCTTTTAGTGATTTGTTTTGGGGCTTTTTTGTTTTTTACATTGCCTTGGTTTTTTTACCTTTGCCTTGCCCACCTGGCAAAAGATGATCTTTACTCTCCTGACAGGCGTTGTTCTGTAGATATTGTCTTAAGAGCAGGCATATAGGAAAAAGTACAAGAGTAAGGTAACTTTTCTGAGTTCTGAGAGGAGCAGTTTGTCTCCTGAGCTGTGGCAACTTGTAATAGATCAGAGACTTGTCTGGAAACTTGCTGTAAGGTTTGACAGATTCGTTTCTCAGAACCTAGAGAATTGAAGGATTTTGGTGAGTTGGTGGCTCAACTTCTAGTGGGATACCATAACCAGCAGCTTTTGCCGAGTACAGAGCTGTAATTCCTTACCCTGCTTTTTCTTCACACTTTAAGCACTGGCTGATCTGTTAACGTAGCACGTTTGTCCTTGACAAAAGCAGATTATACAGAGTCAGTGAACTCCTCTCACAGTGGCTGCTGGAAAAATGAAAACTGTATTTGGGGCAAGTAGAATAGCTAATGTTTTAGAACCTTCTTTTAGAACCTTGGAACCTTCAAGTAAGATTACGTGATATAAAAATTATTAAAAGGTTTTTGAAGACAACCTGCTTAAGTGAAGGCATGACGCACACTCTATTTGAAGATACTTCTCTGGTAGTGCTTTTGGGCACTGCAAATGAGCTGTATGGGCTTCTTATTATTTTGTAAGTTATCTTTGGTGTCCTTGTGACAGACATGCGTGGAGAGTATCTTGTGGATTGATTTCTGATTTTTACTTATGTTCATTTTGTGTCTGGCTATGTACAAGAGGTTTCCCACTGAGCCAGGAAGAGGATGTCTGAGATCTAATTCATCTGGTATAAGGAACAGGCAAACAAGTGACAGCTGAGAAAATGAGCATGCCTTTTCTGTTGACACTGATTCTTCACAAAAAATAACATCAGTGTATATAATATCTTTGGTGTACCTTTAGTGGAGCTGAGCTGTTACAAAAGACAAAAGCTCTAAAGTCAGAAACAATTTGACTGACAGGATGTCTTTTGCAAACACTTAAGTAGCAGGGAGATTCCTGCTGCTTTGCTTGGTTGGGAGTGGCTATACATTTTGTGATTTTTGTGGAAGGAGGAAATGGCCTATAGACAGCCACAGCTGCACTGTTGCAGAAAACTGCATAATATGTCCCATCATGTTTTATATTATCTGTGTTGTATGTATTGGTCTATTAAAAACTGAAAAAGTGCAAAATGCCAAAATTGTGAAAACTGTTTTCCTCACAGAAACTTACAAAAATATTTCAATAAAGGTGCAATAATTCAGCTGAGTATTTGATTTTGCAGTGTAATATAGTAGTTACGTTCTTCCAACAAAAAATTTTTGTCCAGAGTACTAAAGTGGGGGGGAGGTGCTAGTACAGGGATGTATGGAGGGAGTGGGGGATCTTTTTTAAACCAAGGGTAGGTAAAGGCTGGTCCTTGTTTTTGTTTTCCCTTCTCTTCAGCTCTGATCAAATATATCCGACCAGTATTTGTGTCTCGGTCAGACCAGGATTCTCGCAGGAAAACTGTTGAAGAGATAAAGAGGCGTGCCCAGTCTAATGGTAAATGGCCACAGGTACTGTATTCTGCCACTCTGTAAGAGATGGTATTTGGCATTTCCAGGCTTTGGATATGCAGTTTACTTTTTTCATTGTGGGTGGCTTTAGGTGGTTTGGGGTGTTGGGTGGGTGTGTGAAATTTCCCCCACCCTCTCTTTCTAGAAGATAAAATGTATGATTCTCATCTGCCTCTCATTGCGTTGTGTTTCAAGGGAAACTGGGTAAGTACATGGGTAGGCAGCTCTTAAGTGGTATGAAATGGACAGACCACAGCAGGTGAGAAATTCCTTTAAGGAGAAAAAAAAAAAGAAGTGCTTACCAGAATACCTGGGGAAGTACGTTGTGTTCTCTCCCTTTGTGATATTTTGGCACTGCCATTGTTGGAGAGGTGATACTGGGCAAGGCAGCCCAAAAAATTGGGGCATTCCAATAACCATCTATATTAAAACATGTGATAAAAGCATGGATAAAATAAGTGGGTCTGGGGTTTTTTTCTACAGCTAAAATGTGTCTGTTTATAATGTGCCTTGAAAGAGAGTAATGGGAAGGAAAGGATGGCTATTTAAGATCTCAGATTCCTAGAAGCATGTGATTATTTTGCAAATTTGAAGCATTCCAGTGGTTTGTTTGAGATAAAGATGCTGTATATATTTTCTGGGATTATTGCTGCTAACAGTGGGTATGCCTCTGCATACTGGACTACAAAAACATTATAAACAGCTATAAACAATGTGACAGGTGATATATAGCTTTTGCATCATGGCTTTCATCATTAGATTTTTAAAGCAAGCTGGGACAGAGTGGGCAATAAAACTGGTGATGTTACTTCTAGTCCATTGCTTTTTTCCCTTTTGATATGGATCTGGGGGGACTTCGTTTCTGTACAGTCTACCCTCTTCTGCTGAATTGGTTCAACTTAAGCATTTTTTGCTTTTTTTTGATTAGAATCCTGTTCAGATATTTTTAGTCTCTGTCATTTGGGCATCTGTGCACATGCCAAGTAATAGCAAAGAGAAAATAACTGTCTTTTCTTAGCCTGTAAACAGGTAGCCTGGGAGCAGGAATTTTGTTCTAGTATAAAACAGACTATGATACTTTTGCCAGCACCAAAATCTTCAGTGAAAATACTCATACTTAACAAGTGTTTCTAGTCAGTGTTCCAATAAATAGAATTATTATTGGAGGGCAAGAAAGAGGCAAAATCACAGATAAATAAAAATACTTTTTCTTTTAAGGTAGAACTTTGACATCTTTAGCACCTTTTTTTTTTTTTTTACTCTAACTGAACTGTTTGAGAACATTTTTGCTGTAATCCGTTAATAAAAGCTTTGAAGAGATGTGTTTATAAATAAATTCACATTGAAATAGTTCTTAAAAGTCAACTTTTTTTTTTTACTTCAAGATAATGATATTCCCGGAGGGCACTTGCACAAACCGATCCTGTCTAATTACATTCAAACCTGGTAGGTATTATGCTCATTTCTCTGTTCTCTACAGAATGTCCTTGTATCTTCATTTTCTGAAGTACTCCTTGTGTTTTAATTTGCTTGCTGTTGCAGAAGTTGAGTTAAAAACCTGCAGTAGGGTGAAATTGGAATATAAATTTTTCTGATGGTACAGGAAGATTGTAATTCTACCATTGAACAAAGCAGTTTCAATAATTTGGGTTTTTTCTTGGCTTCTGAGATGCATATGAGCTGGAGGAGTAATGTTTCTTTCTGGGGCTTTGTTTGTGGTTGTATCTTTTTGCTTTTTTTGCTTTTTTGCTGCCTTCATTTCCTATTTGGGTCTGCCATGCAGCATTTAGATACTCACTGCTACCTTAAGCTTTATAGTGTATCAATTTCAGGCTGCCCAGCGTTTGTTGCTGTATGTGGCTGGTCGCTCTCTAACTCTTCTGTAGAGTTGCATTCTGGTGAAGGTGACATGAAAATGTTTCCCATGTAACACTGTTACAGAGGCTGCCATTTTTTACAATTTTTGACGTAACATCCAGGTTCTAAGCTCTTTTCAGTAGTACCGCCCTTATAGTTTATCAGATTAGTAGAGAGTGTAACAGGGAACATTGCTGCAGCTGTAAACTGCATTTCCAGTAGGGAGAAATGCCACTACTGTAGTAAACTATTAATCTTTAATGTAATCTTGCCTTTTTCCTGTAGTAAGGAGATCGTCACTGAAGAAGCTTCAGTGAGCAAGACAGTTGCGAATGTGTTTTTTGACTTCCTAGTTTTCTGCCTAGTTTCTGGTCTTACTGTGTGTCTTGTATTTTGTTAGGCTTGCAATTTAAATATCAGTCTTACAGTATCATGCAGTGAGTCAGCATTGTGGTTCCTTGCACTGATTCATTTGGCTGAAGGAATCTCAGACTTTTCTCTCAGATCTTACCTTTCTAGATGAAGAATGGTGATTAGGGAAAAATTCACTTCTGCAGCTCTTAGCTCTCCTTCTCTCTCCACCTGAATCCTGACCATGCTTTGAAGGCTAGCCTGAATCCTTCATGTGAAGCCCTGATTGCCTGCATTCCCTCTGTGCAATAGACATTCTAGGCACCATGTATTTCATCTTTACATTCTCACTCTGTTTTCCTCTGCTCTGGTCTAGTACATGTTGCTGTCTGCCTCTTGACTGTCTCACTTTTCCTACTGAAACCTGCTTCTGTATCCATCCAGCCTTTCAGAAATCCTTTGCCTCAAAATTCCTCGCTTATATCACATTACTTTAGGTCTTTATTCAAGTTTGTTCTATCAGGATGCCTTCCCCTATTCTACTAACATGGCCTGTACTCCTTGCTCTTACTACATATTTTCTTGGTTTTGTGTTTGTGTATAAATGGTAGTGTTATCTACCACTCAGCTTTTGTCAGCTTTAGATTATTTCAAAAGTTGCTTAGACTGTTCTTTGAGACTGAGCAGAAGGTACCACTGGTCTCCAAATCTCTTAAGGATTCTATACAGACCACCTTCATTTAGAGATGTTTATACTCCATAAACAATTATTCCTTTTCTGTCTCAACAGTTACTTCGTAAAGCAAATGTTATGCTAGGAATAGAGTGTACTTCAATTATTTGGTTCTTAATTGGAATATTAGGGAGACCTTAGTAAATTGTCAAGAATAGCATACATTGAGTGAAAGTCTTAATTTATTCATGAGAGAAAGAGATGTTAAGAGAAGTCTTGAACAAGATAGTTATCATGCTTACCCAATCTTTGCATTAGAAACCAAGAAAATGTTTAGCAAATGAAATCGAACTTGTGCTCATTTATCAGAGCTGTAATTTTCCCATGAAGTGAAGCAATGCTTCTGAATAATAGCTCTAGTTCAATATAGCTCTAGATCAATTTATAACTATTAGTTTTCCCGTACAGAAGTGACATTAATTCTGTTATTTCAGAGATTATAAATTGCCTGTAAATTGTTGTTGTTCAGATAAAAATAGAAAGCTTCTTTTACATAAGAAAGCCTAAGGTCTTCACCAAAAATATTGTTAACTGCAGGGAATAAAGTAATCATCTTGTGCATGCTCTTTTTTTCATTCATTTATTGAACTGAATTTGGTACTAAGCTTTGACTTGAGTTAATGACAATATATGTAAGTGGTAGATGATAATTTAGATAATGTAAGCAAACACTTTTAATTACCTATCTGCTGAAAAGGAGGCTATATAAACATTGTCATTCTCCAGTGCTTGTTGTTTTGATTACTTTTGAGGCTGCTTTCAGATCCTATTTTTTCACCATCTACTTCCCATCAGTCTGTTAGTTGTATATTTTTTTCTTGTTGCAGTAAATTTATTCTCTACCAAAATGCACTATAAATTAATTATGTATCATATGTGCCTTCTAGGAGCGTTTATTCCTGGGGTTCCTGTACAGCCAGTGGTTTTACGTTATCCAAACAAACCGGTAAGTTCAGCTTGCAGTGTTGTTGGAAATTCAGGGCATTTTCCTTTAAGTGCATTGGCCCTTGTGTAACCTTTTAGGTTTAAAAATTCAAAAATCATTGCTAAGTTATTGTTAGTTAAGTATTTATTCCTTAAGCCTCAAGCAATATAGGGAGGCTTAACTGAGACGGTTTAAATGTTTCTGCTCTGAAAGTTGTTCAGGTTGTTACAAGAAATATTCTACAAATGATGAGACAAATGGCAATTTCTGTCCAGGATCTGTGTTCCTAAGTGTTCCCTGTTCCTGCAGTGTACGCTGGAGAGTTTTCTTAATGTCATTTATTGCTGGAAGATGTTTCTGCATCTCCTGCCTTTGGGGATGTTAGTCACGAATTACTCTGACTGGCTGAATGGTATAGGATAATGTGTTGAGGACCTCTGCACCTTTATAAAGTGTCATCTTGTCTTACATTCACCATGCCCTTGGCTAAGGAATTAGCTAATTTGGACTAGCCCTCCAATGTAAGTTATATTCAGGTAAAATGCAGATTATAATGTTTATTTACAATAGCCAAAGTTTCTTTTTGAGCCCACTGGGGCTATTTTCATGTCCAGTCTGTGCCCTTCTGAAGTAGAAGTTCCTTAGGGAGGGTGTGAAGAGAGTCAGAAATAAAATAAAGACCACCTGATCTCTTTTACTGATGCATGTCACATCAGAAGATCTCTGACTAGCCCATTAACAACTCCTTGTCCTCAGGAAGGATTTTGTTTCTTCTTGGTACCTGAGTAGCTTACAAATATTTCCATCCACTGTTCTTTTTGTCATTTACAGGTTTATGTCATTTACATAAAACATATGCCTGATTAAAAAAGAAAAGGATCCAAGCAAAGTTAATATACACAGGCCACCATTCACTCTTGGCTGAGACAAGGTGTAATGGCAATCAAATAATTTGCAGTAACTAAACCCAAAAATTAACTTCGGAGATGCTGTGACAAGAATAGCAGCCTGATATGCTTACATAGTGCATTGAAGCAGGCTGCCTGGGACTTTTCATTACATAACTTATATTTCCAGGCAGAAAGATTCTTTTCTAAAAATAGTTTGAAGTTTTGATGGCACTGCCATTTAAAATGGCAGACATACTCATGGCTTGTGTCATACTTAGTATGCCTTGTAACTTTTTGTTAATGTTAAGCCCATAGCAATATAGAGCTATCAAATGTTATTTTGTAAATATCTTCAAAATCCAGGTGCATACTGAAATGTCATTATTGCCTGTAGTACATAATATGCAGTATTTGTAAACCAATAGTAAATGTTCCTAACACTTTGTTAATAGAAATTTCTGAGCTTTTGATGTTGGAGTAAAACAATACAAGTGTAAATGATAATTTTGATAATTTTTATGTTACTGCAAAAATATCATAAAAAATTGTAACTAGTCATATAGATAGACATTGTGAGCTGGCAGGAGTTTGTGTATGGGCCTTTACTTTTTCCTACTACTTTCAATTGCTGTAAAACACTTAGTTTTCAGTGCCTTACTGAGTCATTTAACCTCCTATGATCTAATTCCTAGAGACCTTGCAAAGGTCTAAGCAATAATGACACAGGCCATAATTGCTACTACTGCTTTATTTTCACATGAGCTCAGGGGTTGCAGAAGAGTTGCATCAGAGTTAGGAGAAGAGGCAGAAGGAATATAATGTGGTACACAGAAGTGAGATTTTTGTTACAATACGGAGTTAGATTATTTTGTTCCAGTTATAGAGGTATTCTTATTTCAACCTACAAGGCAAAGTTTATCTTTTCTTTCTGATTCTTCTGCCCATCCCGGGAGAGGAGTGAGCGAGCAAGCAGCTGTATAGTACTTTAGTTGCCAGCTGGGATTAAACCGCAACACATGTAAGAACAGAGTAGGGAATGAATGAGTAGTTCTTACACACTAAGATACCAATTTTAGCAAACTTTAAATGTCACTTTCTATTTGCTGTCTTGTTTGATTGATGCATATTATAATTTTAGGTTTAGAAAGGAACTTCTTAAGATCTTTGCTTAGCCAGCGAACTCCAGATATACATTGTGTGCAGTCAGGCCACTGTGTTTTGCTTGAAGTGCCTGCTCTGATCTATGTTCAGAGCTTTGAGTTGCACAGTACAGATGAGAACAGTCTTGAATTTGAGTGCACCTGGCTGTTTTGAGAGGCTTTTTGAGATTAGAGCCTGGGGTGAAGGTGGTAGGTGTGTGCACTCTGGCATGTTTATTTCATTGTAGTCTATCCAAGAGCTAAGGAAAGCACTACTGTTCTGCAGTGAACTGAAACATGGCAAAAGTGAAGAAGTAAATTCAGGGTTTTTTCTAGCAAATAAATCTAGTTCTGGTTGCTGTGAAGAACTATTTATATTTTTCATAGAGTTGCTCCCTGAATAGCAGTCATCTTGGGGCTTGTGACTATTTGTATTAGATGACATCCTGTATCAGTGCTTTTTTGTAGTAATATTTTAGTATATTGCTCTTATCGATGCATGAGCAGAAAGAAATTTTAAGGCTTAAAATGTTGTTTAGACCTGATATTCAAAATTTGCTACTGGTTGTCTAGATTGGCAATACTTTAGGTATTGGATGCCTGAGAGCTATTGCCTATATTATAATTAGAATAAATGCTCTAATGTCTTCACCCATAGGGATCTCTACTGTAATCCTTTCTGTAGTCTTTTACTCTTCTTTTTCTTCATTTGAGTTTTATGTCAGAGTGCTGTTACTTATGAAATTATGAAAATACATGAACTGTATACCTGTTTAAATATCACAGAGCCGTTTAAAATGTGTTTTATGTCCAAATGTCTTCCACAAGTAGCTGTGCTATTTGATAAGAGGTTTGGCAGCAGCTCTTGTACAGTTTTGGTATATTAGGCTTAACTGAACCTGTGAGAACACAACCAATCTCCTGTTTGAAGGTTGGCATATGATTCTCAGTATCTTCTTGTGTCAAATATAAATTCTATGGAAGATGGTTCTTCTCCCTTTTTCCTCCCATGCCTAGGGGAAATAACAGAGAGGATAACATTCAAGGTCAGGTTGGATGGAGCTCTGGACAGCAGGATCTAGTTGAAGATGTCCCTGCTCATTGCAGGGGAGTTGGAATAGATGGCCTTAAAAGGTCCCTTCCAACCAAGCTATTGTATCATTTTATGTATTTCCACACAATTTGAAGTATTCATTACTTAGATACAATAGTTTCAAAGTGTACTCAGAATGCTGTAGAAGAGAATGTTGTCAAGAAGCATAAGCTGGTAGCTGTGATAAATATAAAAGGTCAACTTAGTTACCTAAGGAAAATCCTACTTCCCTTTGTCTTTTTGTTGTTTTTATCATAAAGATACTGGCTACGCTGGTAGGAATCTCCTATAACATGAATCTGCCTGTTGTAGATCAGAATCCTGTTTTCCATTGAACAGCATTTCTGGCCACTATCCTTGATGCATCCTAAAGTTTTGATGAGAAGAAGCATGCCTGTCTACTATGACATTCACATTGGGAATTTGTTGCAGGATTTTTGGTAGATAACATGACTTATTTGAGTTTGTCTTGCCAGCTAGCCAGCATGAGGCAGGATTCTAAAAATACCTATGCACTGTTCAGTGATCCAGACACTTTTGTGGAGAACATATTTTTATCTCCCTCTGCCCTGTTGCAATTTAGAGAGTTGAGTTGGAGAGGTGTAGTACTTGGTGTTCTATAAGGCAGATCTAGTCTCTAGATAAGTTATCAGCTATCTACACTGGTTTCTCACAGTTTGTAATGAAAGTTTCTTGTGGGAAAGACAAACCTCATGATGTGTTTACTTGCAATGTTATCAGAGACATCAAAATAGCCAGAAACTATCCACATTATAGTTCTAAAAGATCACTGGATGGAGATGGGGTTTTTTTAATGCAGATAAATTGATTCCGATAGACTGCATCATATTTTGATTAACAATAATTGTTAAGTGTCAAGTTTTAAATTTTTATTGGATCTTTATGACATAGTGACCTTACTCTCCAAGCTGTTGATCTATCATTGTGTTTTTCACCTTTTATGGGTGTGTTTGCTTTATTTTTACTTTTGGTGGCCTTTTGCTCTAAATAGTAATTAAAACTTGAGTTGAACTTGATTTTTCATGGCCATGACATATGTGATCACCTGAAATCTCTAGAATGGGTTTGGATGGTAGCATAGAACGGAACTGGAACATATTCAGTAGGTTGAAAAAATGTCTTTCAGAAGCCTGATTTTAATGAGTCCTGTTGTCTTACACTTATGAACTCTTTCTCAGTTAGAACTAATTTCCAGATTTTTAGATTCTTTCTTGTATGCTTAAATCACATCTCCAAGCAGTGCAGTTTTGTTCCTGTGCTGTTTTGTAGTATTAGTTAAAAATGGCTTGACTTTTATTGTCATATTCCTATCTGTTATATATTCCTTTACAGGTCTTTTTTCCCTTTTCACTATTTGTGTCTTGTTCACTTCTTTTACTGCTATTTGTCCTCTCTTAGTGTTTCATTTTGGCCATATAGCTGTATGAAAGATGGGCTGATTCCTAACAGGGTTAAGAACTTTTGCAAAGAGAGCATAGAAGTTTCCATGAAAATTTCTTAGTCATGTATTGTCAGTTATGCTGTGTACAATGTAAGAAGTTGAAAGCACAATAATTAATTGCAAATATCACACTTCTTTTCTTAGGACACAATCACATGGACATGGCAAGGGCCAGGAGCGTAAGTAGTTAATGTTTTATTGCTTTTATCATTGCTTTCTTCAATTAGTTCTTATTTATATGACTTATATGCTTATATAGTCAACCAGTTGCTTGTTATTTGATTATTCTTTGGGATTAATTTCTCTTTTATCTGTTATTCTCTAATTATACTAATAGTCAGTAAGAGGAATCTAAGTGTAAACAATGTGCCTGAAGTAAAACAACTTGCTTCTGCTCTATATATTCTATTGCCTGCAAGTTGGTTTGGTATCTTACTGTATAAAATCTAGGGCTGTTGCTTGAAATTGATCAAATCTCATGAAAATAGTCGACCCACTCAATGAATTTGGAGATACTGTTTCCATTATCTTGTCTGAATATAATTTCCACCCTTTTTTTAAACAAAATATTATTCTAGAGGTTCTTTATCAAATTCATGAAATATAAAATATTAGATAAAGCAGTTCTTGCTTGTTTAAAAAAAAATTTACGCATTATTTTCTCATTGAGATTTGAGTAGAAATTCCAGAATGTCTAGGTGAAGATTAAAACAACAAATTTTGAACCCTAAATGAAAAGGAGTTGCCTTCTGTGTTTTATACTTTGTATTGTTTTGAACATCCCACTTGAGAGCCTATATTTTAGTAGTAATGAGGAAACCATGGGGATTAGCCAAGATTCAAGTAATTTAGAATTTTGTCAATTAAGTTTTGCACTTAGGAACCAGGTCTAATTAAGGGCAGGATTTGGAGACTTGAGGAAATCATTGATCACTTCCAAAGGTTTCAGCTTACAATTAATTTGTCACTTTGGAAATAGAGGAGTCTGTAGTTGTGTATAATGTAAACAGACACTGCAGCATTTGCTGCATAAAGGGGTTTGTGTTCTTGTGAGCTCTTACCTCTTCCTTTGCATTTGCACTGCAATTTGTGTTAAAATGTAACTCAGCCATAGAGGAGAAAGGTGAGTAATTACTTCCACTTTGGTGTCCTAACTGAGGACTCAAAAACACAGAGGAGGGAAGTAGATGTGTTGCCTCAGATCACTGTAATGTGTACAAAACCCTTATTCTGAAGTTTTGACTTCTGCTAATAAAGTTAAATTAAATTAAAGCTGAATCAGAATCTGCAGCAGCATGTGACATTATACAAATTGACTGGGTCAGTTTAAATTACAGCTTGGCTTAATTAGGATTAATTCTCCTGGGTGACCTAAAATGTATTTGTGATGTCTTAGCAGAAAATGCTATTAAGACTTCAGGCTTCCTTTTCTCAGTAAACATATTTAGTGTTAGCCAAAACATAATCTGGAAATATTTCTGTATCTAGGAGTATTCAGTTTATTTAAGGTGCTGTAGCCTATCAGATGGTTTGACAACTTGTCATATACAAACTTAAACACTCTCTTACACTCATTGAAAGTAACGTTTTTACTACTTGGACAGTATTCAGAGCAGATCAACTGAGTCTACCTTGAAAACAAAGAATGACCGTCATTGAGTTAGATACGGGTTCTATTAGTTTTAAATCTTTATTTAAATTCAGGGTTCAATCTTTGAAGATTACAGCAATGGGAGAGAGAAAAGTTTTCTTGTAACTTACTGGGGGTTTTTAATGCTCTTGAAGAAGGACCTAGAAACCAAACTTCTGTGTTTCTGTCAGGGGTGTAAACTTCAAATCACAGGCTCCATTGTTGTTACTGATTCTTTACTTTGCTCTAATGTGTTGGAAGCTCAATAAGAAGGAAGGGGGTAAAAATGTTTTGCAGCCCTACGTGGATGTATAAGAAAATGAGGAGGGTTTTGCTTCTAGGAACTGCACTTTCTGTGTAAGAGGATTTTGACCAGTTGTCCCCTCACGATGATTGACTGCTGTAACTACCTAGATGCTGTATGAAAACGTGGCTACTTGACACTGCTCCCTAATTTAGCTTTACTAAATCCTTTCCTGGATTTGAATCTTAATGCTTTCTAAGGTCAAGTTGATTCCAGTTATCTTGTGTCTTAGGCTATTAAAACACAGGTACTGCATTTCATTAACAGACTTTGGAAGTATAATGAACTTTGATTCCAAAGTGAAGTAATGATAAAATCTGAGTGGTTACATAATTAATCTTGCCAACTCTGTGCTGAATACAGCATTTTTCTGAAACGGACTTAGTCTTCCTTTAACACATTATGCATATATTACCTTTCACTGCGTGTCTTCCTGTTTATGACTATTTTTTAAGATGCCAATTCAGTGTAAACTACTTCTGTTCCACCTTACAGGATGTAATGTGTGGAAGTACTTTCAAAGGCCTTTTCTGTTAATTTTTATCTGAATATGATCATACCTACAAGTAGGATGCTATGTGAAGACTTTGGAGCATAATGTATTATAGTTTCATTAAATTTTTTTTTCCTCCATCCTTCCCTATCTTGTTCCCCTTTCAGGTTTGAAATTCTGTGGCTTACTTTATGTCAATTTCACAATTCCGTGGAAATCGAGGTCAGTAAAAATAACCTCCAGTGTATTGGAGCAGTTGCAGAATACATAATATTGTACTTAATTCTGTGGTAAAAGTTTGCATTCAAAACTTGTATGTATGTCTGTAAAAACAAGTTAAGATACCACATATATTTTAGACAAATGGCTTCTGCATCTGAAAATATAGTTTAGAAATGGAGTAGCAAAATATTTTTCCAGTTGGCATAAGACTTTTTTACTGACTTGAATTTAGATAAATTTCTGGCTCAGTTTAAAGAGTCTTTTCTGAACAAATTTCTTGTCTCCTAATGGCCTGATTGCTGTTTCAAGTAGTGTACCAACTTTGTATGTTAGACATTCAACTGTGTGAGTGCTGATGTACAAACTAAGGACTGTCTTGTAGAGAAAAATTTTAGATGGTTTCTTATAGGCCACGTAAGTTATTTAATGTCTGGCTAATATTTTTATTAGGCTGCACTGTTCAGAATGTGAAATTGGAAAACACAAAGAAAACCCATCTATAGTCTTAACTTTGTTTTGAGGAGAATATTGTACTTTTAAGGCTGAAAACTATTGTAGTGAAAACATGGAAACAATTAAAGCCTTTCCTTTCAATTTGTTGTCCTTACGCATTTTACAGAGTCCACATTTTTGTGGACAATTACAGTATTTGAAAAGTGTTACATAGGATATTTGACAGATGTTCTGCAATTCTTTTCTTTTTTGAATAATGAAACAGCTATTTAGCTCTGACAGATGGAACTGATGTCAGGGTAAATCAGTAGGAAGAACTATTGCGTGTTTACATACATTGTGTTACAATAGTAACATATATTGCATGCTAATCACTGTACTGTCAGTGCTCTGTGTTTGCTTATTTTTGCAATCAGTTATTCTCAAAATTGATGGGTGTGCAAAATACCAGCCACTCAATAGTCGTATGTGTTGTAGAAATTTGTGGTTTGTGTTATCAATTTAGTTGGATGAAAAACAAATGTGATTTCCAGAATAGTGGTGGCCTGTGTTTTGCAGAAAGGCCAGGGAGTGACTGCCTCACGCAGGGCTAAGGCAAACCAGCTGGCTGGCAGGATTTTTACCCTTTCTCAGGAGCATAGTTTTCTGCCCTAGGCAAGTAAAATGGGTTCTTTCACACAGGAGTGAGCACTGCTGAGCTTTCTTGATTTTTGAGGCAGCAGCTGCTAGCAGATGTTGAGTTTCTATAGCTTTACAGATCTTGCATAACAAGCTATGATCTGTGGTAGTTCTTAGGGGGAAAAAAACCAAACTGACTGCTGACCTTCCAAAATATTCCATCCTAAAGTAGGAGTTGACAGAGGATAGAGGAGCATACCTATCTGCAAGGTTGCTCTCAAGTATTAGGCAGAGTATTTGAGAGCTACTTGTTGACTTACTTTTGTAAGGAAGTGCAGTGAGGACTAGTAACATATAGGAAAAATTAGTTGTTCTGTGTTCAAAGTCATGTTTTTCATCTGGTCTCTGAAGCTTGTTGGTTGATATTCCTCTGTTCCATCAGTACAGAGATACTGGCAACTTACTTATCAGGCTGGATACCACAGTTAGTGCTGATGATCCAGTAACTCACAAAACAACACAACTTCAGTGTTTTTTTGATTAAATGATAGCCAGTAAGATTTAACAGCCAGCAATCAGGATCCAAAGTTAGCTAATCTGGGCTTCTCTGCATATATGTTCTGGCATATGGTGTGTGTTCTCCAGTTTGTGTATTGAGAAGTGAGCATCTACGTAGGTTTTATAATGGCTTTTTGTAAATATTGGCCCATCCACCCATCATGTTCTTATAACTGGTATGCTGGCAACGTTGTGAAGAAGAAAGGATATATGGTTATCTGCACATGTAGTTTGTTTTGGCTCATGTCTGTTTTACTGACCTGTCAACTTCAGTGTTCATACATCTACCACAGTCTGCAGCAGCTGAGAGTTCTTCTCTTAGTTTTGTTAGTGATGCTGAAATGATTATGCTATTTATGTCAAGTTAGGCACAGACATGTAGAACACCTCTGAAATTACCTCATATTCAAACTTCTGTGTTTGGACAAATTACTTAATAGTCGTTTGCAATACAAATAAATGGACTGAGGTTTGGAAGTTGAAGGAACAGCTTTCCATCTCTGTTAGCTTCACAGTCTTTGTGGTTTTGTGTGTTACATGAGGCTGGTGTACCTGCTTGTAATGTAAACCTAGAAGACAGGAGTGATGTTTTCGGCTGCAGTGGCACATATACGGAAAACTCCAGCAAAACTCAAAATAAATTCAGTATTTGTCCATTACAGGAAACAGATTAATATCTAATGGCAGTGTTTGGGTACTGTTAATCATACTGCTATGTGATTTTGAAAACACAGCTAGCTTCAGGGTTATTGAGAAGTATTGGATGAACTTATCAACTTTAAAATAGAGACTAACAACTTCACCCAGTTGTTAGTTTCTGTTTTAAAGACCAGTGTGAAATTTCTGGGTCATAATTCCCATTTTCACTGCCCATAGGTAATTATATGTGCTACAACTGAACTTCTTGCAGCTTTTTTCTAACTCAGAGGCCTTATGAGGATTGTAAACATTTTGCTCACTTAGTGCATAAATGATCTTATTGTGCTGCACTACTAAGAGAGTTGTCTGTCTGGTACTGAGTAGGAGTGGTGATCAGAGTGATCCCCTCTTGTTCCTCCCATCTGAGAAGTAAGTTAGTTACTTGGCAGAACGAAATGTTTTGAAGGTTTTTATTGGTGAGACTGGCCATGATCTTGGGGCTTTTGTAATTTTTCAATGGACACTTAAAAACAGCTTAAAACACTGGAAGATATTTTAATGTTGGCGTGGCCAACATTCTGAAAGCTGCCCTTTCTGTTGCGGATCTCCAGCAGTTCTGGTTTAATTTTCTACTTTCCAACATCAACTGTTCTGTGGTTCTCTGGTCATCTGCATTCATTTAGATTTCTTCTTTCTTAGTGGAGTGTTAATGGCTGATGTCCAATTCGAAGGGAAAAAAATTTCAAAACATCCAATAACAGAAAATAAAAACACTTCTCCTATGCGCAGTAGGCAGTCGTACATGATTTCAAAATGTGCAGGAGGAACAGTAAATACCTGATGTCTTTAAATTTGGATTCTTAATATTTTAGCTATAGAGCAATATTCCTTTAACATGTGCTTTTTTGGTTATCTGGAAAGAGTTTAATAATACAGGATGTAAGTGAGGTTTGTGCAAGAGAGTGCTAATATTTCTAAAGTATTTAAAAATTCTGAGTTCCACTTAAGAAATTAAGATAAAACTCTGCATAGGTTCCATGAGGTAAGAAATGAGCAGACTCAATGTTATATGAATCTCTAGAACTATGACGTATACTTAAGCATTTAAACATTTAATTTTTAATATTTTCTGCAGTCTTATTATAATTTTGTGAGTAACAACAAACTCTATACAATTTTCACCATAGTGCTGTGAGAGATTTGTTTGAAATGTTAAATATTTTTGGTATAATTCAGTTCTCTGTATGCAGTTTCTACCCGTGTATACTCCTTCAGAAGAAGAAAGAAAAAATCCAGTGTTATACGCCAATAACGTCAGACGGGTAATGGCAGAGTAAGTATGTTTCGATTCTGTATAAAAATAGATGATTTTAAGTTTAGACTGAAGAAAAGATCACAAAATCCAGTTAGTATGGTTGTCTGCCTACAAAGAACCTTGTGGTCCGCAGGAGTGTCTGCAAGACCTCTTACATAGCAGTTACTTTCCTCTTTGAGAAGGCCAGGGAGTCACTGCAGCAAGAACTGTAGGACTTGATAGGTTTGAATTTTTCTTTTCTGGTTGGTTGTTTTGGGGATTTTTTAACATGCCTTCATATAACAAGCCAGTTCTGCTTGCTTCAGTGGGTATTTAGTATTCTGGGGGAAGGGTATGGTTGAATTTTAGGAAAGTTAATGTACCTGAATTTTGTGCTATTGGGGTTGCATTTTAAGCTGTGACTGTTTTAATGAGGTTAAGAATAGTTTCATGTAATTATTGTTAGCCTGTGGCTATTTTAAACAGTAAAGCACAGTGAAGTGGCTTTACTTCCATTGGATGCAGAAGACTGATACAATGCAAATTAATTGAAGTTAATGTGGTGACAGTTGAAACACTTGTCTGTAGGGTATAATAAAGGCAACATTTAATACTTTCACTCTTTTGTTGCATTTTTATTAATAGCTTTTTCATTTATTTTTTGTCCTTTCAGTAAATCTTCCATTAGTCAGTAGATAACTCTTTTCCACATTTACATTGAACCCTCGGGCCTATGGTTGCTATTAACTTTTGAGAGGTTTATGTATCTTCCTTATCCTGATTTTGAAAGAACTTGTGAAATCATAATTTCCTTTGTGTAACTTCTCTTCCGTTTCCAAGTTTCCGATTTAAACCAAAGGCCAGTTTGTAGGTAGTAACTGAGAATTCTTGTCTGGTTGAGCCCAGGTCTGTCAGTTTCTTTAAGGATGTTGGCACAATAATATAACAATAGATTCATCCTGCAAAAGGATATTGCTCACAGGAGAAAAGAACAGAAGGACCTTTTGGAATCATCTTGTCTTGGAGTCAAAAATCTTTGAGGCATTGGCTTCAAAGACTTCTGTTGTTAATTAAAGACCATCACCTGGCAAGTGTTGTCCTCAGACTTTGTGTAGAAGGCCAGGGTACTAAATCTTCTTTCTGAACTCTACTCCAATCAGGTAACAGGGATTGTGTGCTCTAAGGAAAAATTTTGGAAGGCTACAAAAGTTAATAACTGGCATGTTGCAATCCTTCCCTTCTAAGTGCGCTTAGGAGGAAAGAAATTGTTTCTCCCTCCCTGCCTTGAAGAATTAAGCATGTGTGGTCAAAGAAGAGGAACGCAGATCTAATGGGAAGACTGTCAGAATGAGTGATGTCAAAAAAGACTTACTTTGGGATGAAGCAGGGGCTGTAGATGCTGTGTTCATGTGAACGAGAAAATAAATGTGTTTGGATATCAAAGTTTTGAAGTTAAAATGCAGATAGGAATGAAACAGAATGTTGATGCCTGAGTACCACAGATAACTGTAGACCAGTTAACATAGTTAAAAATTACTTACTTCTGACCACTTCCAGGTGCTGCCTTGTTGTGTCAGTTCTCCAGACTTTCCTAGTTTATTCGTGCAGCTTTTGGTACAGGAGATTTCAGCTCAAATCCTGTCAAGGCTGTTGTGGAGCTGTAGCAGTTGCAACTCAAGTACCTCGGGTGCTGTTTGGTGCTAGCATTGCACTCTGCATTTCTGGACAATGTTACTGCTTTATCTAGATTTGTCCTGCTTTTCTTGAGGATTGAGTCAGTGGTGATGTGGCATCTTGTTTTCAGAAGGTCCTTTTGAGATCTGTTTAGATATCTGCTTACTCCCCCCCCATCATATTTCTCTGGCAGAAGAGTCTAATTCTGCTGGATATTTTACAGCATCAAAGGTGACACTCCCAAGTAATAAAGTATTTGTGACTCTAGAACCAGTGTTGTGGAAACCTTGTGTCTTGCTCTTGATTTCAGAGGGAGTTGATAGAAGTGCAGCAATAGATACAGTTTCTGCTCTTGAAATGGTTTGCCTTCACAATAATCTTGATTTGTGGACAACTTCTATTTAGCACTGAACAAAGCATTTGACAAGACGTCTGTATCTTATGCTGCTTCTGCTTGTTGACTCTCTGAAGAATTTTTTTATTACCCATATTTGATTAGCTTTTCTGTGGGTGGCCACAGATGTGAGTGATGGTGGTTTCTAGATACTCAATTTATATATGTAGAGTGAACACAAGCTGTTTTGCTAAGGAGATGCTATCATTTGCAGAGGTTTGCTTCTTTAGGACATTAATTTCTTGTACATTGGATGAATTTACTTGCCCAAAAAGTGAAATTCAAAGTGTGCCTGTGTTATCAGAACTGGAATTACTCCTACAGGATAGCAATTGCTGCTGAACGTGCTTGCCATCCTTTGGGTCATGTTGTTAATTTACACAAAAGGTATGTGTGGAATAGATTAATCTGATGTTTAAAACATGGTCCCTATTTATACATTAATGATATGTTTCACATTTAATTTTCTCATACAGCCTGTTTTTGAATGAGTCTTTCTTGTTTCGTCTTTCTGGCCTTGTTCTGACACCTGCTCAGTTTAGTCAATGACTGTGTCACCCACAACATGATGATAGGAGCTGTGTTTAGAGTCACTTTCAAATCACTGAAAATGTTGAGTACTTTTAAATACGGCAACAGTCCCAACCAGTTCTCTTTAAAATCAATAAAATGTGGTGCTGTTCTGAGCTTTAATTCACTTCTTGTGTTCTTTATTGCTCTAACAAAATTTTGAAACCACCCTACTAGTAAATCAAGCCACGCTAATAAATATTATGTTGCCATACTTTGTTATTACTTAAGCAAAATCATCATTTTGGTGTTCATGTGCATAAGCTATTATCATCTTATGTTGATGGTAGTCAACATGGGTTGTTTTGGTCTGCTACTTTATTGAGTTCCACAGTCTCTCCTATATATTTTATACTTGGGTGTCAAACTTATTGGCCCGTGTTGTTTTTTGGAGTTTTTTTTATCTTTGAATTAGTAAGAATTTATTGAACTATGTTAAATGGTAAAATTGTCAGCCACTTGATATTTCAATCTCAGCTTTTCCAGAATTATTAGGAACAAATCACTTGACCTTGCCATCACATGTATTTATTTCTAAAAATTTCTCAGTGGTAGAGGAAATATCTTTACCTCTCTTAGAGCATTGGGAAATACTTACTTTTATTCATAAGATACATTGTCTTGTTAACCGATGTAAAGTATTGAACATGACAGAGATTTTTATTGCCTAATGATGATTTCGCTATCCTTAGCTAGTAGTTAGTTGTGTTATTTTTTGTATTTTTTCTTATGCTTTAAAAAGTGTTCTTCTTAGCTGCATCAGTTGCAAGTTTTTATGTAGTTTTATCTTTCTTTGTTGTTTTGCTGCATCATAGTTCCTAATTTACTGATAGCTATTTATAGAATGATGTGTTTTGTGGTTTGTTTGGAGTATGTTCCCCAGAAGAAATATATTAGTTGCCTCTTTTCTTTGTGGGGTTGTACCCCATTTGCTAGTGCTCTTAAATGCCTAATTTTCATTAGGAACTGTATTCTGAAAGATATCTCTTAGTTGTAATTAAAGTACTCTTTAGGGTATAGAAATTCCATTTGAAGGAAAAAGTAGATAACTTTTACTCCCACTTTGGGGTGAAAAAAAAGTTTGTTACCCTACTGTTCTTTAGGACTCAAAAGATGTTTGAAAGAAGTATGTCAGGAGCTTAGTTTTTAGTTAGTTGCAAAAATTCATTTATTTCACTGCATTCACTGGCTGCAATATCAGCCAGTGATAGTGCAGGCAGGTGATGGTGAAAATCTGCACTGCAGGCTCTTTGTGCAAGTCTAAAGTAACCTCACCTGTAATTACAAATACAAGCTGACTAGATGATGATACACATACCCACAGGTCACCTATTAACATGCAAATATAATTTGTTTTCCTTTAGTTTTAGTTTCTCTTAAAGACTATCTTCAAAATAGAGAAGAATATGGTTAGATGGTACAAAATATTGCAAATTTGTTAATTTTTTTTTTTTTTTGCATGTGGTAGATGTTGAGACTGAAACTTGATGGAAACCAGACACCTTTGCCCCTTTGTTTTTCAAAACTGTAAGCACCTCAGAACCGAAGTTCTTTCAATACTCCTGATATGAGCATTTTGTTTTCCTAGGTCTTTTGAGTGTTAAACTCAGCATTGTAATAACATGTGTGATACTGTCCAGGAGTTCTGAAGTTTCATTTTTGATGAGCCCGGAAAGGCAGCCTTCCTGTAGAAATAGCAAAATGTCATAGTCCAGTTTGCATTTTTTCAATAATTTTTTCTTCCTCCCTCACAGAAACATTTAAAGACATGTTTTTATATTTGCAGTAGATGTTGATTAAAGTGCAGCATGTTAGACATTGAACTTGAAACATCTGTCTTCCTGATGTTTTCTGTCAAGTGCTTGCCAGGATCACTTTCCCCGTGTTGGAGCATGTCATACAGTTAAAGCATTGACTTACCAGATTGACATATGAGCATTACATTTTGCTTTTGAGAAATGAGTACTTTTATCCAGCATGCTGGTGAAGGCAAAAAATATTACAGGTAGTCTTCTGTGTCCATCTTCCCTTTTCTTATCTTCTACCCAGTCAAAATCAGGGTGTTTTTTTTTTTTTCTTGTAGGCACTGACAGCATCAGAATGTGATCTTTGCCAGTATATGTGATAATGTTAGTTGCTGAAGAGTAGTTTTGAGGATGATGAAGATTACAGTTGCTTACTGGTCTGACTCGTGGCTATTTGTTGTATTCAGTGGCCTGCTGAATCTAACTTTGGAAAAACTTCTGTGCCTGTGCTGTCTGAAGTTCTGTGTGTGAATCTGCACAGGTACTGTTGGATGCTCAGCATTCAGCTTCGAAATCCAAACTGGTTTTTGGCATTTTTATCCCATCAAAGGCATAAGCATCAGTATAAGGGGAATTACTGTAGTGCTGATGTTAAC